CAAATTTCAGGCATCGTTGTTCCTGTCATCAAATGTCAGTTTTTCACATCATAGGAGCATGAGGCTAAAATTTTCATCAATATAAAACTAGTTTTGTGACATTAACATTGTATGATTTAAATATTAGCACTTATATGCCATACATTCTATAAAATGGCAATAGAAATCACAGGAGGAAATCTCAGGAGATTGTAATTAAGTTAGTTTGCGACAGAGGAAGTGGAGAGGAATGGTCCTGTAAGCTCACAAGGATCCCGTTTTGAGTGGGAAATTGAAAGGATTAAGAGAAATTTTAAAAACAATCAAAATATGTTTCAGCTAGTATTTTGCTCTAATGATTTGTCCCAAATACTTGAAAAATTATGATCTTATCTTTCTAGATTTACTTATTTTTTTATTTAATTAATTTAAACGTGTAATTTCTTCAAAACCTGTTGTCAAACACTAGTCGAAAAAACAAAGCAATTCCTCCATGCATCTTTGTCTTCACTGACATGCTGATTTCCTTTATCAGAATCTCACTTTATGATAAATTATTTTTCTCAGTTTGTCATTATTTCAAATAACTGTAAAATTGATCAGAAAGGTTGAAATAATAAACCCTTCATGAAATAAATAAAGTAAATGATTAAACACTTGCAACAGTATAGTAAGTTTGTCAGCTACTCCCAACAATGGCAAGAACTCCATTGGGAGATAGTAATACTGCAGTAACATTATTGCTATGGCATTGTAATTTTAGGCATCCAAGTTGTCAGATTATTAGTTACTATATGATAGCTGGAATATTCTGCATTGCATGTGCACAGTCAAAAGTGAATTTCTTCTTTCATGCAAATGTGTAGAAACCACTCACCAAGGAATTCAGAATTCACAGCTCACATTCATGTTATATATTTAGTGATATAGGGATGGTATTTAAGGGCAAATCATGTTTTAATTTGACATGAGGAGGTAAGATTGTCCTGTTACTCCTTGTAATTTGTGGGAAATGGAGCACTGTAAAAGTTTGACTCAGTAACTGAAAAGTATTTATGTTACGATCATTGTAATGTGATAATATGATGTAGTATTTATTGTACGATTGTTAGGTGATGTACAGATGAGTACAAGTGCAACGTGAAAAAACAGGTGCCTGATTGTTTAAAGATGAAACTTCATATTATGCTCATCTATCCTATTACATACATATTTGTTAGAGACAGTTTTTAAACTGCCAATATTTTAGCATCGAAAAATAATAATAAAATTTTACATATACAAAGTCCAGCAGAAAACTTTTCTTGTCATAATAGATGTAGCCATTATCAGGGTTGGTATTGTGATAAACAAATTTTTTTCCAAATGGTTGCCATCTCAAATAGAAGAAAAATGGGTGGAAATGTTTTAATTCAAAAATTTAACACGAGTCAGGTGGTAAAAATAGTTTATTTACACTGAAATGTACTGAAACTCCTAGAAAAGAGTGAAAACAAAAAGTAATCCAGAAAAGATTCAAAGCCTTTATGACTATATATATTCTAGGAAGAAAATACGCACCTTCCAATTTTCAATACTTTCAAAAATAAAATTACGCACTAAATTTTCCTTACATTTGTTTCTCCAGTACCATTCAATTTCTGCACCTAATACAAAAAGCACAGTCATTTAAGACCTTTTTAAAGGTAAACAAATTATAGAGTCTGACAATGTCATTCAAAGTAACACTGAAGGTGACAAACAAAATATGTTAATTATATGCATTCAGCATACTTAAATCAGTCATGAAGTCCATTAATGGGTCAACAAGCATTTAAAGCTATGGTTCCCCCTTCTACCAATTTAACACTTCTGTGATTTATACATGCTGTGTGTAACACGAAACTTGCAGCAGAATATTTCCTTTGTCACAAATATATAAATATATAAGCCATGAGCTTCAGATTTGTTGTGTGACAGCTTCTTCATTTCCAGATATCCATCCAGGATTATGAAGCTAAAACTACATAACCACCTCTTAATGCTATTAATTCACTCTATTCCTATATAAAAGATGTGCTGCATGTCATGATGGGATGATTCTAAGACTGAGCAATATGCAAAAACATAGCACACAAGCATATGCCAATTACAGAGTCATACACATACAAATATGTATTGACTATGCTGAATGATATTATAATGACATTAACAATGAAGGTGGGTTACCATCTGACTGAAAATAAAACAATTAACAAAACAATTCAGGATCTTCAACAAAACTTATCAAGGCTGCCTCAGGTAAAATCAACTTGAGCTGGAGAAATGCTGAAGCTAAATAATTGAGACCTGCTGTTTTTTTTTATATTTGTCCTATGGAGCTAAAGAGATTATTTCAATATACTCTCGGCACAGTGAAAGAACCATTCCTTCTTCTCATCTGTTGGTAGAATGTGATGGCCATGCTGAAAGAGAGAAGGATGAAAGTAAAAGTTATGTTCAAATATGAAACAGAAATGCCAGAGTATTAAAGCCTTCAGGATAATAACAAGATCATTAAAACATTTAAAATAAATGATACAAGTCAGTTTTTCTTTATTGCTGTACTTGATTCTTTCAATGTGAAATTATTTTTCTGGCACACTATACTGCAGACTGTGTGCGTTCGTTTCAACTTTTATATATAGTGGTACATCCTTTTATATTGTACTTGAAACAAGTTCTCATCCTGGTATATATACATAACATTCAAGACTCCACCTGTCCTCATTGTGTCAACTTCAATTGTATATCCTATTGTATAGTACTTACAACAAGTTGTCCAGCTGGTACATCAATATCACACTCCAGGCTAGGCCTGTCTGTGCTGCTATTTGTACTCCTGCTGCAGTCCAGCCTCACCAAGGTCTTGCTAGATGTCTTCAAAAGTAAAGAAATAAAGACTTATCACCAATATTAACTTGAGGAGCTCAAATGACTTTATTTCCATTATTTAAAAGAGAACTTATTGCAATGCTGTTCAAAATAGAATTTAATGATGTTCCCTCAAAATCCTTAACTCTGTCTCACCTTATTTTCTATCACAAGTGACACCCTATGATTGCTGGTATAAGAATGGACCAACACATCTCTCGTACTTTTGATCCTGTTGGCCTCACCCTACATAAAAAACAAAAAATATAAGAAATACATTTGAGGGACAATTTATGAAGAACTAGAGGATCAGAGAGGCGATACCGCCTCCGGATAGTGTACCACCAGCTGGAGTGAGCGCATTCGAATGGAAACNTGTTTGTTTTTGATTTATTAATTGCATTTAAATGTGAAGATCTCACTCTTAGCATGGAACTTGCATGTGCAAGTTTTTTTTGTTTATAATTGTATGATTCATTTGTCCTCATGTGTTTTATTAATTTTTGATTCCTGCAAATTTGTTCATAACTTTTTTTCACACATGAGTAATTTACTTTCCTTTCTTTTATTTTAAATACCAGATGTAGATTGCCCATCTGTATTCATTTCACCCAACATTTTATTTTCCAATTTGCAGCTGCGTCTATGATCTTTTAAACAATTGTAAGAAATGCATTGTAATAAGTAGTCATTATGTAGAACTTGGGCTACATCTAGCATTGCTGAAATTTAAATACTCGTCCCCCCCCCCCCCCTTCCACAAATTTCGGGTATCGTTGTACCTGTCATCAAATGTCAGTTTTTCACATCATAGCAGCATGAGGCTAAAATTTTCATCAATATAAAACTAGTTTTGTGACATTAACATTGTATGATTTAAATATTAGCACTTAGATGCCATACATTCTATAAAATGGCAATAGAAATCACTCTCAGGAGATTGTAATTAAGTTAGTTTGGGACAGAGGAACAGGACAGGAATGGTCCTGTAAGCTCACAAGGATCCCATTTTGAGTGCGAATTTGAAAGGATTAAGAGAAAAATTTTAAAACAATCAAAATATGTTTCAGCTAGTATTTTGCTCTAATGATTTGTCCCAAATACTTGAAAAATTATGATCTTATCTTTCTAGATTTACTTATTTTATTATTTAATTAATTTAAATGTGTAATTTCTTCAAAACCTGTTGTCAAACACTAGTCGAAAACAAAGCAATTCCTCCATGCATCTTTGTCTTCATCGACATGCTGATTTCCTTTATCAGAATCTCACTTTATTATAAATTATTTTGCTCAGTTTGTCATTATTTCAAATTACTGTAAAATTGATCAGAAAGGTTGAAATAATAAACCCTTCATGAAAACCATGAAATAAATGAAGTAAATGATTAAACACTTGCAACAGTATAGTAAGTTTGTCAGCTACTCCCAACAGTGGCAAGAACTCCATTGGGAGATAGTAATACTGCAGTAACATTATTGCTATTGCATTGTAATTTTAGGCATGCAAGCTGTCAGATTTTTAGTTATTATATGATAGCTGGAATATTCTGCATGTGCACAGTCAAAAGTGAATTTTTCTTTCATGCAAATGTGTAGAAACCACTCACCAAGGAATTCAAAATTCACAGCTCACATTCATGTTATATATTTAGTGATATAGGTATGGTATTTAAGGGCAAATCATGTTTTAATTTGACATGAGGAGGTAAGATTGTCCTGTTACTCCTTGTAATTTGTGGGAAATGGAGCACTGTAAAAGTTTGACTCAGTAACTGAAAAGTATTTATGTTACGATCATTGTAATGTGATAATATGATGTAGTATTTATTGTACGATTGTTAGGTGATGTACAGACGAGTACAAGTGCAACATGTGAAAAAACAGGTGCCTGATTGTTTAAAGATGAAACTTCATATTATGCTCATCTATCCTATTACATACATATTTGTTAGAGACAGTTTTTAAACTGCCAATATTTTAGCATCGAAAAATAATAATAAAATTTTACATATACAAAGTCAAGCAAAAAACTTTGTCATAATAGAGGTAGCCATTATCAGGGTTGGTATTGTGATAAACAAATTTTTTTCAAAATGGTTGCCATCTCAAATGGAAAAAGAATGGGTGAAAATGTTTTTTAATTCAAAAATTTAACACGTCATGTGGTAAAAATAGTTTATTTACACCAAAATGTACTGAAACTCCTACAAAAGAGTGAAAACAAAAAAAAAAATTCCAGAAAAGATTCAAAGCCTTTATGACTGTATATCCTAGGAAGAAAATATGCACCTTCCAATTTTCAATACTTTCAAATATAAAATGACGCACTAAATTTTCCTTACATTTGTTACTCCAGTACCATTCAATTTCTGCACCTAATACAAAAAGCAGAACCATTTGAGTCCTTTTTAAAGGTAAACAAATTGCAGAGTCTGACAATGTAATTCAAAGTAACACTGAAGGTGAAAAACAAAATATCTTAATTATATGCATTCAGCATACTTAAATCAGTCATTAATGGGTCAACAAGCATTTAAAGCTATGGTCCCCCTTCTACCTATTTAACACTTCTGTGATATATACATGCTGTGTGTAACATGAAACTTGCAGCAGAATATTTCCTTTGTCACAAATATATAAATATATAAGCCATGAGCTTCAGATTTGTTGTGTGACAGCTTCTTCATTTCCAGATATCCATCCAGGATTATGAAGCTAAAACTACATAACCACCTCTTAATGCTATTAATTCACTCTATTCCTATATAAAAGATGTGCTGCATGTCATGATGGGATGATTCTAAGACTGAGCAATATGCAAAAACATAGCACACAAGCATATGCCAATTACAGAGTCATACACATACAAATATGTATTGACTATTCTGAATGATATTATAATGACATTAACAATGAAGGTGGGTTACCATATGACTGAGAATAAAACAAAACAATTCAGGATCTTCAACAAAACCTATCAAGGCTGCCTTGGGTAAAATCAACTTGAGCTGGAGAAATGCTGAAGCTAAATAATTGAGAGCTGCTATTTTATTGTTATATTTGTCCTATGGAGCTAAAGAGATTATTTCAGTATAGATTCAGCACAGTGAAAGAACCATTCCTTCCTCTCATCTGTTGGTAGAATGTGATGACCATGCTGAAAGATAAAAGGATGAAAGTTAAAATTTTCACACCATGTTCAAATATGACACAGATAAATGCCAGAGTATTAAAGCCTTCAGGATAATAACAAGATCATTGAAACATTTAAAATAAATGATACAAGTCCGTTTTTCTTTATTGCTGTACTTGATTCTTTCAATGTGAAATTATTTTTCTGGCATATTATACTGCAGACTGTGCATATTTATTTCAACTTTTATATATAGTGGTACATACTTTTATCTTGTACTTGAAACAAATTCTCAAGCTGGTACATCTACATAAAATTGTGTCAACTTCAATTGTATACCCTATTGTACAGTACTTACAACAAGTTGTCCAGCTGGTACATCAATATCACACTCCAGACTAGGCCTGTCTGTGCTGCTGTTTGTACTCTTGCTGCAGTCCAGCCTCACCAAGGTTTTGCTAGACGTCTTCAAAGGTAAAGAAATAAAGACTTATCACAAATATTAACTTGAGGAGCTCAAATGACTTTATTTCCATTATTTAAAAGAGAACTTATTTCAATGCTGTTCCAAATAGAATTTAATGAGCTTCCCTCAAAAGTCTCAACTCTGTCTCACCTTATTTTCTATCACAAGTGACACCCTATGATTGCTGGTATAAGAATGGACCAACACATCTCTCGTACTTTTGATCCTGTTGGCCTCACCCTACATAAAAAACAAAAAAATTAAGAAATTCATTTGAGGGACAACTTATAAAGAATTACAATATGATAAACCACATGAAGGATAAGGCTAACTTATCTGTCCACTTATCAGGGATAAGTCGGAATCTGCTAATTGTTGGGAAAATCTTATTACTGTTGTGAGCACCAACACCACCCAAAAAGTCGGAAATCCACCATTAGTTGGAAAAATGTCACCCCTACTTAAACCTCTAGGGGTGTCATTGGGAAAGCAAGGTTGAAAGAATATGGCAAAATCAAAATTTTTGTAAAAGATAAAGTTCTCACAGATGGGTACGAGTATCAATCTACCTTGCTGACAACAGATTGGCAGACAGCTGAATCTAATGCAGAACCTCCATCTTTGATACCAGCCACTTTGAGCTCTGCATCTGAGCAGTCCTCTGTGTATACTTCCATCAAAAAGGGACACGCCTGTTGAGAAGACGAAATCAATTATAAAGATATCTTTCTCTTTTTATAAGAATTTTTTACATTGTTTTTAACTAATTCATGCAGCAGTATCACTGCTTATTTCACCTTTATTTGAGAACTGATGAATGTTACAATACTAATTCACTTACTTTGCCATGCTACAGTATTTCCAATTATCAGTGTTACATTCTTCATACTGGCTTTAAAAGAGACTCACCTCATCCAAAATTAACTCCTTGTTGTATCCCATGCTCTGCAAGGTTACCCACAAGTCCTCCGTATCACCCTCGTTGTCATCTGCTTCCATCTGGTTGAGATCAACAAAGCCTTTTCTGGTAAGTTCTCCTTTCTTGATTTCAACATTGTCTGAAATTTTAAACATCAACAGCATCTTATTTTGTGAATCCATTTTATTCCACAATTTTGAATTATTTTCCATGCCAAGCACTTACCAACGACTATAAGAATAGACAATTAATATCAGCAGTTATTAACTTTGGTTAATTCTCATGTAAGGCCCCATTCAGAATAGTGGACTAACTAGTCTGAGGGGCGAATATGGCCGACCCATTTGAATACTTCCCCACAGGTTATCTATTCAGTGTCTATTAGCAGATTAGACAACAAGCTTAGTAGTGGGTCACTATATTTTACCCTCGGACTAGTTAGTCCCCTATTCTGGGGACTAATACTTTCATTATAGAATTACCAGCTCACCTTCTACCACCTCCCACTCCTCATCAGCCACCTCCTCACCACTTGTCCTCACGTTATACAAGTTGAACTCACTCCGACTTAGCAACCCATTTCCATCCAGATCAGCCATTTCAAATATGTCAGACAGAACATCCCTGTATAAACGAGCAGACAAACAAAAATAAACAAATAAATGTGCAAACATACTTGAAGGAGCATTCAATGGAAATTTTCAACTACAAAGGGACTGAATTTTAATTTTTCTGGTGCCTTGCATGAAAGTGGGCACCCGGAAATATCTGAACAATATGCAACTGATAATTCAGACTAACTATCTTCCTTTTTCAAAACAAAAGATCTTAATGTTCTTTTTGATCAAAATTCTTTTTATGGAGTTTATAGGTGCAGTTTCTGAAAGTTCTAGTTACTGAATATCTCATCTCATCTCAACAGATTGCAGAACAAATATCCAGTCTTTCATTGATAATATCAGGCATAATTATATGGACATGTGACGTACCTAAATGCTTTGGTCAACACATATTTGTCATCCGGGTCCTTCCTGATCAGTTTGGTCTCTGCTTTGGGGGCAGTTTTCCTCTTCCTCAGCCTGCATCCAGTAGTGAAAGGCAGTAAACTATACTTGCCTTTTTTCAAATCACATCGCACACAGTATTTCTGAAACAATTAATAAGCATTTCCGTAACTCAAGTATACCTTTTAACCGATAATAAATAAGTAAATGCAAAAATGCCAATGAAAAGACAACAAATTGTCTGGTAAGGCCATGTAGGATGTGAAGTATTACTTGTAAAATAAGAATTAACCCCTTTCAAAACTGACCCCTTTGGTATCTCTCTGCTCTGTAAAAGTGACCAGTCTGTGGCCAGCAGAGTCAGGTTTGTCTCTAAGAATGAACAGAGCCGTGTCCACAGGGGGGCCCTTCCTGTCCTCTGAAAGGAAATGGAGTATCACAATCAGATATCAAGCTCAAAAACATATCACCAAGTAATTCAAATGAATATGGCAAATCTATCACACCAAATATAATTTACAGGCACATCTATTACAATTAAAAATCTGACCCAAGAAGGACACACTGGATCACCATTTTGTCCATAAAACTGCAGATCTATGTTGTTATATTTTCATACAAATTAATTGTCTTATTACAACTACAACTAGAAATTTTAGTGTGAAGAATGGCTTACAGCGGAATACATAGAAACAACTCACCATCTGGGTGAAGAACTACTGGTTCTATAGTAAACCAAACACTAGTTTCACAGGTAAGATTGAGCGTGTACTGATGACTAATGATGGATCCATCCTCTTCAAGGAAGAAACAACCCTTGCTGTGTAACTTGGTCCAGTCCTGCAAAGTATCCAGCTGGCATTGAAATAATTTACTCAAATTACAGAGATGTAAAAAGCAACTTGGAAGAATACTGCAATGCTCTTTTTTTTTAGCTCTTTTCAGCACAAATTTAAAGAAAGACTTAGAAAAACTAGCACCAGTTGGCCAAATATACCCAAGCCTAATACTTATTTACTGACTATTAACTGACACCTCGAATTAGCCTTTCATTCGAGACTGCCTAAAGAGAACTAGCTATGAAAACAGAAAAAGGGATATGCAAGAATCGGATAACCCAATATTTGTTTATCTCAACTAATGTAAGCTTAAGTGGCCAATTTGCGTGATCTTTTATGTGAGGAGATAGGATTGGGGAGAGAATTGATTGACACTACAGCAGCATGGCTGTTTTGCAGTTAGCACTCTGTAGGAATTGACATTTTTGTGACACCCCTTTGTGTGTTTATGACAGTTCAGACACCACTTAGTATAACAACGTCAAGTTACTCATAGATGTTCAGTGATTTTGTGGAGGACATTCAGCTTTCCAGGATAAAAGAAATAATTGACATCCACAGAAAGCCAGCAATGTGAGTTTTATCACCGTTTTGTTGTAGAAGTTAGTTTAACTTTCTTAATGCAGTTAAAATTGTTTGTAACACTACATTTTAAGAAGACTTATTATGTTTGTTTTTTTTTTAGTCAGAACCACTGGACTACAAGTACATGCGTATCTGATGCTGGTTACTGAAATAAACATACACAATATTAACCAAGACTTCATTGTTTTAACTTAAGATCTGTGGGATCTTACAGGATATACACTTACACTTAGTTTCTTTGGCTCTTGCAGTCTGGTCTTCAGATTTGCAACTGGGGGCATTGTTTTTTCCTCTACTTTCTTAGTTCTTGGTGAGGGTTTAGGTTGGTCTGAAATTGTAAAATTTTGCTCCTGTACATCACTGGCCATTGTATAAAAATCTAGACTCAGATTTTTCATTAAACATAACATTCAATCTCAGTTCTCACGCCTTCTAATAAAATTAATAATTTCCGAACAACACTGAATGAAATAACTAATTTGAATGAATATATTAAATGATAATAATTAACATAGTATAACGATTTAGTACAATAGTTTGAATTATCATGGAAAAAGTTGCAAATCATAACTGAAAGTAAAAATTCAGTTTGGTTATATTCACAATGATTGTTAGTAAGAGCATTATTTGATTGTATATTGACTTGCTTGCTGGCAAAGTTAGTGGATGGTTTGTGCAAACTGGAATGAAAAGCTCTGACAATAGAACGCAATTCCAATATGAAGCTTACAAACTTGTCAAAGTCTTAAAGGCAAAGGGTTAAGCATTACACCTGAAAAGAAATTAACACCAAGAAATGGGTTATTGTGCTTCACCATCACCATCTTCTAAGCTGATAAAACTGTAGGAGTCTGGTGTTTATGCTATCTGTTCTTCCATTCTATAAGATTTCTATCAATGTTCCACGATCATTCTATGATTCAAAGCAGTTTTTGCCAAAAGGGTCTTTTTGCAAATGGTGTGGGTACACACAGGGATTTTTTTTTTTTCAAAATGCAAATAGGCTTTTGACCTGCAATGAATTCTGGTCTTAATACGGCCAAAAAGATTATAGAAATAATTCCATTAGTTATCTTAATTAAACTCATTTTATCCATCTCTGTAAATTAAAAAATGTGTTAAATTTATAGAAGTTTTGTGAAGTAGAGCTTCTGTCATTCAACTCTCTAATCAAATCTCCACACGAGTTTTTTTTAGTTAAAAAACTGAACTTAAATCAAGCATCTCTCTGAACAAACTTCCATGCAAAAACCAATTCTTTTAGTTATAAAATCCACAGATCATTTGAAAGAAAAAAGATTATGCAGCATATCAGTGATTATAATTCAGATATCAACCTGCATGCATTATTTCTATCAGATGAAATTATGAGCATGTCATTAGCAAGAATGTTATCAATGTGCACAATAATATGCCAGTCTCTTATCATATCAGAAATTCAATATATATATCAGTTTATAATCATGGAAATGTGCAATTGATTTTGTGCACATAAGTTATCCTATCTGTTTCTAGGCATGCAATTCATCAAAGGGGTTCAGAAACTGTGTAAGCAAAATGGTCATTGGAAAAAAAACTGAGACAGAAAAAAGTAAAAAAAACTGTTAATGTTATGAAGAGAAAACTAAGGCAAAGTATAAGACAGAAAACTAAAGCTAATGTGGTTAGATAATCTTGTGGAGGGTAAGCCACATGAGGTACGGAGCACAACCCACAGAAAGGTATCTGGATTGACTGAGTGATAGCATAGGGCCAGTTTTTACTGTGCTGACATCATCTGTAATGTGTTACTTAAATTTTAGCTCAGAAGCGCCTTGTTCCAACTGCTTAGGTGCATCCCAAAGAAAAGCATGCATTACCTGTCAAGGGCTCAGAGTCCAACTTAGCCATGTCTAGGCTGAGTTTTCTTGGTTTGGGCTTTGGTGGGGTAACCTTTTTTGATTCTTTAAAAGAGATAATAGTAAAAGACATATAAAGACATAGAAAAGAATGAAAAAGTCCTACAGATATGTATCAAAGCTAATGAAAGGAGGGGAAGTTTTAAATTGTGACAATGAATATGATTAACCATTGATTGTCCAATTAGAAGCAAATCTATTTTAGCTGGGACAAACTGTAAGTTACTCTCCTGAGAGAACGAATGCATAATATGTTGCCTATGTTAACTAACAAGCCTAAAACAAAATAAACTCATTGAGAGGTACAGCATGAAAAGAAAAGTAGAGAACAGAGTTAAGAAAGATCAGTTTGAGATGCAGAGAAAAAAATCTTCAGTAAATCTCTTTAGTTTTCTGAAAGAATTAATTAAAATATACTGTCATCTCTACAATGGGATAAAATGGATGATCACAATTATAAATTAATATTTTCAAAAAGTGATCATATTATGGAATCTTCCACATATAGCTTCTTTTTTATAGTTTACGATTTTGGCTTCAAATTCTGTTCTCTAACCTAACTGCCTCATGCGAAATATTTTATTTTCTAGGTCCACCTTCAAAGAAAATTTCAAAAACTTTGAAATTTGCTTTAAAACAGTTTATAAAACAGTTTAAACTTTTTCAGTATTTAAGCCAAAGTTACATACTGGGGGTAAGAGTTAGGAATTCTATGATTCTGACAACAGGTATGTAAAATTGAAACTTTTCCAAATTTCAAAATTTAAAAGAAAGCTGCTTACGCTTTCCAGGCACTACAATGTCACAGTTGTCTGAATCTTCAGAGTAGCCTGCCTCACTGACACCTAAAGAGAACACACCCTAATGCTACATTACTCTTTTCTCAAGTAAATGCCTTAAAACACAAGATAAGTTTGTCTGACAAATGTTGATAAAGAATTGGTTTTCATGGTCATTCCTAAATATAAAACTTAACTTCTGACAAAGGCGTAAACAGGGTCTGCTCTATAACATGAACCTGAGACACACTGTTTCAAATTTAAAATGATTAAAAAACCAGAAGCTGGTTTGGATACTCAAGAAAACATACATTTGTCTGACAAACTATGAAATAAATTAAAATAAATATTTTATAGACATCTATATTTCCAATTCAGATTGTGAATTTGAACCATAGCAGAAAAGCTACCTAATATTTCAAAAAAATTATCAAGTGCAGTAAAAATTTATTAGTCCCACTCATGAAAAGTGATACAGCACTTTGTTAAAGCTTATATAATCCAAAAGCCTGCAAGACCCACTTTCAAAAACAAACAAGTGAAATATTCATAGGACAAAGTAAGCAAAATTGTTAGGCATTAGAAAGAAATAAAAGGGTAAACCTGAATACCATATTAGATGGATTTTAATACAATGAATACATCTAATATTGCGATATACATTTTGACATTTTCAAGCATAAAAAAAGTGGGAAGTTACTTCTTTTAACTACTTCTCTAAGCACAAAAAAACCTCAAAGCCAATTCATTGGATCAATTCAGAATTTAAGCCTTCTAAGTGGTTGTAAATTTCTAAGACTACTACCCAAATTGTACAAAATAAAAACAGTAAGAAAATCCAAACTTTCTTGACACAACAAAAACAATCAATTTGTGTCTGTTAAATTCTGGCCTACCAAATAAAGAACTATGTAAGTCATGCAAGATAGCTATTAATAATCTTTTCTATAGCTCATGCAAAACTAGCCTCCCGCAACAGCAGCTGTGCCTAAAACAACCTAACCTTGACTTGGTCTCTCTATAGCTGCCTTTATAGGTTTTGATTTTAAAGGGGAACTGTCTGGCCTCGTATTTTTAACATTCTTGGTTCCTACAGAAAAAACAGAATCAGAAAAATAGGAAGTGATGAAAAGAAAAAAACACCAGGAAAACGTTCATTTGCGAAAAGAGCACAACCAAACACTGTTATAGATGGCAGAGTAATATGAAACACTGAAGCGAAATATGTTGGCAATTAGACATTTTGCTGTTCAGAACATACTGAACCCTGCAATATTCCAGGATCATTTTGGCTTTTTTTTAATATATATTCCAACTTCTGCATCATCCACATAGCAAAACAGATAGCAAAAGAAAGCAACACCAGTGTTGGCAGTAATCCTTGAAAGCTGCAATATACAATAAAACAGTGGCACATGGCAATGGGTGGGAACATATTAACTAGCAACATTCTATATATATATATATATATATATATATATATATATATATATATATATATATACTATCTCACACTGTATGGCTCCCTAGAAGTGACATTAAGCAAATGGTGATGGACAGTCTGACAGCCAGTTTAAAACACTCAAGAACTGGCTGCAGTGTAAGGCAAAACTCAGATATATACAAACTGCAAAAAAAGCAAAATCAGCAATGTCAAGCAGATGTTTTCTTACTCTCTGAAGTTTGTTCTGGGTTTTCACCAGCTAAAACAAGATATAAAAGTTGATTAATGTCTAAACTCTGTAAGTAAATGTAAATTTATAGGTTGGTTTATGTTCCATTTATGTGAAAATCTGATATTCTTTCTCTCTGCATACTGCATTCAAAATCCAATACTGATGTGAAAATCATTTTAAAAAGGAAAAAATCTGCATACCAGCTTATAGACTTCCATGACATGACATATGGGTTCATATATGATTTAAAAAATTTTTCTTACTACTTCGCTTCTCATCTCCTGTTGCACTTCTAAGTGAAGTTTGGGACCCACTTTTCTTGACTAATAGCTTTTCTTCTATCGAAAATGACAAAATCATATAAAAAATCCGAAAAGTATCCTTCACCTGTCAAGTGACACAAAAATGAAGCAAGCTTTGAAAAAAAGATTTATGAAATACTTTTGCCGGTTGATCACTTGTTAACAGCTTTGACTTATATTACAAGTTAAAAAATAATCAGAAAGTGGGAAAAATTCAAGTGGCAATTTCCACATTATTTTCTTACTCTTCTTATCGCCCTTAGCAGACCGTACTGATGCACGTGATCCCATTTCCTTGGAATCCACTTTATCACCATTTGTCACAGATTTAAGAGAGGTCTGAGACCCCATTCTCTGTGAATCCTCTTTATCACCTATAAAATTGCACATTCATGAATATTCCAAATCAAATTTTTAAATGGAAATAAAATATAAATAATTACTTTATATATCTTTTTATTTTATGGGCTAATGCTTGGGTTGAAGGATTTGAAAAAAAATATATTTTTCAAAAATTAAAATGGGCACATCTGATAGGATCCATTGTAGATCCTTTTAATTTATAGTGTTTATCTTTCAATGCCACATCCTTACTCTTCTTCTCTTCTGATCTAAGTGAAACCTGTGATCCCATTTTCTTGGTATTATCATTATCATTTTTTTGACTCAGAGATTTTAAGGAGGTATGGGACCCAATCCTCTTTGAATCCTCTTTATCACCTACAAAATTATAAATTCCTTATTATTCCAGAAATTCCCTTTGAGTTTTTATGATACCTTTTTTTACCTTTACTAAGTGAGTGAACTATTTCCAAATTAAAAAAAAAACATTTTTTGAATTTCCCCAAGGTGTAAAAACCAATGCCCCTAACTAAAAATTACACAAAGTGTCTTTGCTCTTTACTTCAAGCTAAGGAGAAGACATCAAAAGCCAATATCACCATCACCTTATTCATGAATTTTTCTAAACTAAACAACTGCAAATTTTCATCAGGGCCTAGTAATCAATACCTCATCTTAATACTTATTTTTTTATATTAGTTATCATTAAGTTTAAAAAAAATGGATTCCTTTTTCTTTTAGTCCTCTTTACTGCCTACAAAATGTTTTCTAAAGTCACAATTTATCATGCACCAATAAATCAAAAATATTCTCAAATCATTCCCTTACTCTTGACGCCATCCTTAAAAGACGTAAGTGATGCTTGTGATCCTGTGCTGGGTATCTCCTGGTTCTTATTATCCTCATCTGGCTGTTTCTCAACTTTGGTATTAAATGTATGAAAAACATATAATATACCCTAAGCATTATAATATACCCTAACATATTTCCAACATATTTTCCACAGTAAGCAGTAGAAAATTAGTAGAACCACATAATGACTGGCTGATAAATAATGACATTTTACGTAAGTGCCATTTGCAAACTACACCCCACCTTTATTGTTCTAAGAACACAAAGGGAATACATAAAATTTGCAAAAAAAAAAAAAAAAAAAAAAAA